GATAGATAAAGAAAGAAAGAAAGAAGAAAGAAAGAAAGAAAGAAAGAAAGAAAGGAAGGAAAGAAAGAAAGAAAGAAAGAAAGAAAGAAAGAAAGAAAGANATCTTGCTCACTAAGTAGGAAAACAAGGCCAGAAGCTAATTAGTACTTTGCAAAGCTAACAATTCTTTCTTTGAGATTTGTGGAGTTTTGAGAAATGATCAAGGCCAAATGACTGAAAGATGACCTTGGGCACCAGCCGAGTACATGGGCGCAAATCAAAATCTTGCAGGGCCCTGAGATAACAGCGAGGATGAGAACAGAAACCAGACAAAGCCTTGGCAAGACGCATAGAAATGGACCCCTCATAACTCACGTCTCCTGCTCTCTTGTTTTCACCTCCCACATTCCATTCCCTCAACCCTTCCTTTAAAAACCCCTCAGTAAATCTAAATCTCTGAGATGGGGTAGCTACCATCTCCTTCAGCTGAATACATCTGCTTTCCTAACACCAACCGTTTGACTTCTAAGTCTTTTTTTCTTTACTTTTCAAGGGAGTCTGCAGCCAGACCTGAGTTTGGTAACAAACCCAGTGTTGGCTGGATGTAAGGAAAAGACACTCTTTAAGACTGTGTGGGAATGCACATTCAGTGTTTTTGGAAAACAATTTAATAATATAGATCATTTTAAATTCTCATACACTTTGACATGGCAATGACCATTTTATCTTCATGCTGTAGATACTGAGGTAGTCATTAGTGCTTTTCTCTGATGTTTCTAGCCCTTGCCTTCCAGACTCACTAATCAATGGTACTTTCTTGGTCATTTGGAGGTGGGTGGGGTCACCTGATTGCTTCTGGCCAATGAGTAATAATGTTACTTTTAGGCCAAAGCATTTAACGCCTGGTGTGAGATTCCCCAGATCTCTCTTCTCTTGCATGGTGAATGGCAAAATTCAAACTGGTGGCCTGCCTCCTCCACCTGACTTCCTGATCATGTTTAGCAGACCCCTCCCCACCTGCCAACCTGAAATAGACATGGAGTGCAAGCAGCTGATAAAAATTTATTAAATTAAGTCACTAAGATTTCAAGGTTATTGCTCTCACAGCATCAACTAGGCTATCCAACAACAACAAAAACATTCAGATGTGCAGACAAAGGCAAATGTACAAAGTATTTATTGTATCATTTTTTGCAATAACAATAAACTGAAAATAACCTATATTTATTCATAATATAAATATAATATAATATAATATATTTATTCATAAGATAATGGATGAATTATCTATGGAATACTTTGCCTTTACAAGCCTTTAAAATGTCATAGAAATTCTCTCTCTGCCTGTGTTGCTGAGATATTGCTAAATGACAGAAGAAGCATGCCAAACAATATTACCAGTGAGTGAAAGACTTTGGAGCCAATTATTTGGGAAAAAAGTGTGACATCAGTTGATACAACTTTCCTCCCCTGAGTTGTATGTGAAACACTTTGTAAGTTTCATATGATGTAGTCACTAATTAACAATGCTGCCGGTAGGGCCGAGCCCGTGGCGCACTCGGGAGAGTGCGGCGCTGGGAGTGCAGCAGCGCTCCCGCTGCGGGTTCGGATCCTATGTAGGGATGGCCGGTGCACTCACTGGCTGAGCGCGGTGCGGCCGGTCTCAAAAAGGACAAAAAAAAAAAAAAAAAAAAAAAAAAACAATGCTGCGGGTAGATACTGTCACTATCCTCATTAAGGAGGAGGAAGCTGAAGTTCAGAGAGTCGCAGTAAGTTGCTCAAGGTCACTCAGGTAGCAGCTCTACAGCCATTACTTCTTCTGTGCCCATCTGAAGTTATGTATCCTGTGCCTTTGGATGCCCATCGTCTTGAACCTGCCTGTGGAATGGAACCTCCTTAGCTAGAAATGGGCACCAGGTCTCCACTTCCTACATCTGGCAGGGTTTAAGCTTTAGCTTATCTTTCATTTTCATCAAGCCTATGATGCAATTTATATTATTT